AGGCTTGTCATTAGCACGTGACAGCTGCATCAGCTCGAGCCTCCAGCTGGCGATCTCTCTCTTAGGACCCAGGCCGCTCCTAAGGGTCTCTGATGGGACCTTCCTCTGGGGACTCATGGGTGCTGGTGTCCAAAGGCTCTGTGCCAGGGCCTGCGTGACCTTAGTGAACCCAGGGGGCAGGGTCTCTGCCCTGTGAGACTTGTGCCAAGTCCTGTCCCCCGCCCCAAGCCCCGTCCCCTCCCTGCCCTGGTTCTGGAGGGGGTGATGCAGGCGTGGAGGGCCATGGTGCTTATCTGGGCAAAAAGCACCCAGTCACTGCTGCACTGGTGGCAGGGAGGCCGGTCGGACCCTTGGCCAATGGATCACGCCAGTGGGGCCCCAAGCAGCCCAGAGCCCCCTCGGCAGGGCAAGGCGGGCAGAACCGGGCAGAGCCGGCGCCCTGGTGGTGGCAGGAAGACAGCACGCCGGGTATGCGTCTTGCGGCATGCTGCTTCCTGGCACTCAGCAGCGGCCCGCGGGGATGTGGCCCCTCCCCCCTCCCGTCCTCTGGCTTTTCATGTGTATTTATTTTGTCTCCCAATTACACTGCAGCTGCTTCAGGGCAGGAGCTGGGCTCGTGCTGAAGCCGCATTAATTCAGACTTATTAATTCAGAGCCTGTAATGGTTCAGACATGGCCAACGTGACTCTCTGAGCTAAAAGTTTGAAGCCATTTTGCTGTAGGATTTTATGACTGCAAGTGCAGAACCTCATCTAAGATCCTTTACAGCGTGCTTCCAGCTCTGGGCCTGCGAGGGACTTGCACAGGCGCTCTGTCGTAGAGGGATCTGTCGAGGACTGTCACCCTGGAGCCTGGGCTGCATCTTGCATGAGTCCCTCGGAAGCTGGCAGTCGTCTGGGTGTCTGGGCCCGGGGGGTGGGGGGTGGGGCAGTGGGACGTGCAGAGGGCCTGGAGTGACTCTGGGTCCTGGAGGGACATTCCTCACAGTGAGTGGCCAGGGGGGACAGTGAGAGGCCAGTCCTCCCTGCCAGGCGCTAGGCTGCTTCCCAGAAAGAGGAGTCGAAGGCTCAGAGGCTCAGAGACCAGCAGTAGGAGTGATTAGTCACTGAGCTCACTGGGACTGCTGCTTTCCACGTGGCCACACCCACATGCACTCAGGTAATGCACTGACAGGGTGTGCAAGAGGTTCTTGGACCTCAGGTCATGCTCTAAAAACGAAGTCATGACTTGACAGACGTTCTATAAAAGACCTGATGGTGAGCATGGCGGCTTTGTGGGTCATTATCTGCTCTGTCACAATGGTTCAACCCTGTGCACAATATAAATGAATGGGTGGGACTGCGTACCCATATAACTTTATTTATAAAACGAGCGGCGGGCCAGATTTGGTCCCCAGGACTGACTTCAGTGACATGCCTGCTCAGTAAAGAGACTTAGAGAAACAAGTAGCACGGAAGTCGTGTCTTGATGAGTCCCCTTGTCTTAAGGTCCCCCCACGTAACTCAGCCCCCACTGTACTCACAACTGCGCACTGTGCATTCCTTAGACAGCAAGTGCATCCTGAGACCTTCCTGTTGTTGACACGGTCCCATAGCCAGTCTTACCACAGCCGTGCAGATCTGTCGTTCACGCAGTCTGTCCGTGAGGTGGGATAGTGTGACTGGAATCACTTTGGTGTCTGTGTGAGTGTGTGTGTTCATGCTCCTCCTCGGTCAAGAAGCAAAGGATGACTTTGAGTTCCATCCTTGGGCGAGGCCCCTGGCGGGGAGAATAGGACTGGCTTGCTTGTGTGCGCACGGGGCCACACCCACACACCACCTAGCCCCACAGAGCCGTACGGTGCCTCTGTGTCCTCCCGCGTCTGGTGCCTGCTTCCTTCTGAAGTCATGGCCTTGCTGGGGCCATGGGGGCCAGGGATTTTGCAGGAAGGGGCTGTGTCTCATCCCTACCGTCTGATGCTCTAGACAGCACGTCTCCTGCGTGCAGGACTCCAGGAAGCATCATTGACTAATTGAGTTGGTGAGTGGCTCTGCTCAGGACCCTCCGAGGCACGCTTGGTGGGGCTGTCAGCCGCTCCAGTGCTCAGGGGGGCTGGACCTCAGCCCAGCAGTGAGGCCGGATCCTTGGGGTCGGGCATGAGGCCAGCACCAGGAGGCCCGGGACCACGGATCACACGGCTCATTTGGGAGCAAAGACCCTCCACAGAGGCTGGGACTGAAACCAGCCACGCACTCAGCATTCCTGCCTACGTCTGCATCGCCTGCCCCCGGTCCTCTCCGCCCAGAGGTCTGCTCAGCACCAGGCGTCGCCCTGCCCCGACCCGCAGGCGGCCCTTGCGCGCAGCCTCCCTGCAGGCTCTGGGGCGCCCCGCCCACCCTCCTTGGCTGTGCACTCCATGCGGCGGCGGAACACAGGGCCCTGGGGCATGCTCAGGCCTTCAGGGCACGCACAGACCTCCTTTCCCCATCCGTACCTGATTTCTCCATCAGGATCTAGTGATACGGCAAGTGTCCCCCTGAGAGCACACTCCGTCTCTGTTGCGACGCTCGCAGGCGATGCCAGACCGGATTGGGAACGAGAGCGGTGGAGGCTGTCAGCTGCAGTGATTCCTGGATCCTCAGGACGTCCTGGGGGCTGGGGCTGGACAGGGGCTGGCAGGGACACGAC